GTAGTACAGAATAGTTCAGGAAAGCAAAATGTGCATAGTCTCTAGCATCGCAATACTCACAAGTTGTAATTAGTCTATAACTAAAGCATGGCTTAATTTGGCTGATTAACCTGATAGCTGCAATGTACAGTAATTGTTGTAATCTACTGCAGATATATCATATTGCATTTGTTAAAGGGATTCCTCCATCATTTAAAAAAAATTCCTGTGCATGTTTATCTTGCCTCAAGTAATAGTGAATGTCCTCTGTAACTTCCAGTTTTTGTCAGATGTTGCACATTGAGAGGCTGACCAAATTTTAAGACTGCACAGTTCTCGAGAATAGAAGTGAAGGTCATTCTTGCTTTTGGATAAGTACATAAAAAAAAGAATAAATAAAATAATATAAAATATATATAAAAATAAGAATATAAATAAAATAAATATATCAGAATATAAAGGCACAAAAAGATATCTGATATTTCATGGCTTCTTATATCTAACATGGTGAATGCGTATTGGCATGTGTTGGTTGCTGTAGGTTTATTAGTGATAATGAAGATGAAAATATTATGAATATCATGATGAAGAAGTATAGCATTCAGTTTATACCAGATTACAGATCATAGTAGGTGTTTAATTCTCAGAACAATCTCAAGAAGTGAAAATGACCTCCTCTTTTGACAAAACATTGATATACATCCACACAAATAAAATGGAACACTGCCACAAATGGAATAAAACATATTTTTGATTTGGCCAAAACTCCTCTTTGGATATAGTAATCCATTTTGGTTTTTAATCTGGCTGAAAAGGAATGCTAGACAACCTTGAAACATCAAGTTGTAAGCCATTCCAAGTGTGGCAGTACTTCATTTTATCCTTAATTGGTCTAAAAAGATTTACTTATAGTTTTAAAGTTTTTGCTACAGCTGACCAAGTTTATTGATGAATATAATAATTTAAGATGCCCACAGTATACCTTTTTACTAAATGCAAAATGAATATACTCATCTTTTTCCATGTATTCCAGAAATATACACACCTGATGGATGATGCTAGACAGAAGCATAAAGTCAGCCATTCATTATGAAGAAAATTTTCATCTGTGAGAAAGCTTATGTTGACACAGTAGAGGAATACGATATCAAGTTTGAAGACTTTGAATATAACTTCAGGAAGGAAAGTGCATTTGTTAGAGAAGAAGACTGTACTTCAGTTTAGTTCTTCATGTTTTTGGCCTCAGCAGACCTCTTGAGGTAACACACGAGAAAGACCCTCTGAATGTTCAGTATGTACATGGTCATTTAAAACAAGTGAGAAGCAATTTAGGTGTAATGTGTGACAGAACATTTTCATCATTTGAATGGTCAGGTCAACACATATAACTTAAGCAGACCATATAAATTCCAGATATGTTTGAAGGCTTTTCAATTCCATGTCAATCAGAGCAGAAACAAAAGAATTCAGAAGAAAGATAGATGATTCAAGTGTGATATTTGTAGCTCAGTGTTTTGTAAGGGTCCAGAGATTTAAGGTTCATTGTTAGAGCCACACGTATGAGAAGCCCATTTGCTGTGCTCTATGAAACTTTAATGACAAAAACAGTTTGAGAAAGCATGGGACTTCCAAGTTTCCAAATTTTGAAGTTTAAGTTATTTTCTCATACCTGTTGTGAAAAGATGATATGGGAACAATAGTTTTGAAGGTATATGTTTTTGTCATCTCATTTTTTGCATATTAGCAAACATTTGTTTGAATGTTATAGATTTTTATCTTACATATTTTTATATTGTTTTTTATACAAATATTATAGCCTATATTATCAATGTTGTTAAAAATTAATTTTGTTTGTGATAATAATACATCTTAAAGATGAAGATATCAATGTTGAGGATGTTGAAAAAAATAAAAATAAATTTTCATCATGGAACAATTTGGCTCAATCACCTAAGTATAAAGTATACTTTATAACAGGACATACTTGATTTTTTGGTTAGTAAGGCAAAAATGCAATTGGCTTTCAGTTGACAGGCTTGTGATGGTAATTGTTTCATAATAGACTCATTGGTGATAATATAATTGATTGAGGATTAACAAGTTATTGATGATAATTATTTGATAATTAATGGTTGATGAGAATTGTTAGAGAACTGTGTGTGTGTGTGTGTGTGTGTGTGTGTGTGTGTGTGTGTGTGTGTGTGTGTGTGTGTGTGTGTGTGTGTGTGTGTGTGTGTGTGTGTGTGTGTGTGTGTGTGTGTGTGTGTGTGTGTGTGTGTGTGTGTGTGTGTGTGTGTGTGTGTGTGTGTGTGTGTGTGTGTTGTGTTGTGTGTGTGTGTGTGTGTGTGTGTGTGTGTGTGTGTGTGTGTGTGTGTGTGTGTGTGTGGTGTGTGTGTGTGTTGTATGTGTGTGAGTTGTTGTGTGTGTGTGTGTGTGTGTGTGTGTGTGTGTGTGTGTGTGTGTGTGTGTGTGTGTGTGTGTGTGTGTGTGTGTGTGTGTGTGTGCATGTCTGTATGTGTGTGAGAATTGTTAGAGAACTGTGTGTATGTGTGTGTGTGTGTGTGTGTGTGTGTGTGTGTGTGTGTGTGTGTGTGTGTGTGTGTGTGTGTGTGTGTGTGTGTGTGTGTGTGTGTGTGTGTGTGTGTGTGTGTGCACGCGTGTGTGTGCGTGTCTGTATGTTTGTGCATGCATACGCACTTGTCTCCTCTCTCTCTCTCTCTCTCTCTCTCTCTCTCTCTCTCTCTCTCTCTCTCTCTCTCTCTCTCTCTCTCTCTCTCTCTCTCTCTCTCTCTCTCTCTCTCTCTCTCTCTCTCTCTCTCTCTCTCTCTCTCTTCTCTCTCTCTCTCTCTCTCTCTCTCTCTCTCTCTCTCTCTCTCTCTCTCTCTCTCTCTCTCTCTCTCTCTCTCTCTCTCTCTCTCTCTCTCTCTCTCTCTCTCTCTCTCTCTCTCTGAGTTGCCAAGGAAACCTTGAGATTTTGGTTAAATGCATAATCTTTCCATAAACGTTTTTGCAGAGTATTCATTGTATGTTTTCCACTTCAGTGTAGTAAAAAAATATAACTGAATACAGTGAAAAAATTATTAGGTCTACAAATAACATCAATGAGAGAGGACTCTGTTTGTAAGATCATTTATTTTAATGAAAGCATATAAATATATTTACAAAAGAAAATGCATGTGGCAATATACACACAGATATAATACACTAGATCAATCTTCGTTAAATTGATACCTTCTAATATATTATACATTTGATATATATTCTAATATAATATATACTTCATCTTCGTGTTTATATTAATTTATTCTGTATGATAAGATTAACAAGGAATGACTCAAACTTGAATATTGGAGTTTCTCTGTACTTTCATAAAAATATTTATAAATTACTTCTAAAATTTTTTGATGATACAGGTATTTGAATCTTAAATGTAGGAAAAGTAATCAGCTATATTTTTGTGCTTACTGTAAACCAATAAGTGAAAATGAATGCAACAACCATCTCTTGCTAAAGGGAATTTAGATGCAAATGTTAAAACCCAAGTGCATGTATATTCTTCTTGGAAGTGCTGTATCAGTTTGACATTAGGCCTATTTAAAAAAAATTGGTTTCTCATCAGCACCTGCATTGCATGGCAAAATCAAGTGAGCAGTTGACCTGACAAAACATTTCGTGAAGCTTTGTGTAGCGAACAGGGTGAGAGTTGGAAGTAGTACGCTTTGCCTTGCAGCCTGTTTGTAAACAACCAAAGTGGCCCCCACTTAGAGCCTTAAAAGTATATCTGTCCGAACTGCAACACGTTTCAATTGACCCATCTATCATTGTTAATTACTAAAATGGAAAATATGTGCCTGTGGCACCTGTGCATCTTGCCCTGAGGAGTCACCAATGTTGGAATCTGTCTTCAAGCTGTATCACTAGTAAAAAACTCAAATGCACTATCTATCCACCAATCATTACCTTTATTTTCATTAGAAATTACATTTTTGTACATGCAGAGTTGTCCATTCTATTAGCATTGCCTATAAAAAGTACTCTTATTTGGCCTCGATGCCCATAAAAAGAAAGAAATTAATAAATGAAAAATAAAAACCTGCATGCGGCATTTGAATTTTGAAAAAGCTCTGATGAGAAACCGAGAATTTTTTAATTGGCCTTAGCAACAATGCCTTTAAAACCAAGCCTGTCCCTTGCCAACTGCAGCAACTTGCAGCCCCCTTGCTTTTTGTAAGAAGTATTCTGTCATGAGGTTATCTGACATGTATCTTCTCTTTCCTCAAAGAGTGCAAAAATGTTTTAAGGAAATTCAAATTTTGATCATTTATTGCACACAGTAAGGATGACTGTATTTGTTAAATGGGTAGTTCTCGGTTTAAAGCATATCTGAAGAACCCAAGCTCTGTCAACCTCCCATACCTAAACCCTAGAAATGTTTGATTCACACATTTTGTTTTACATTTATGTAATTAATTAAAAAACTAGATTTGGGCTGTTATTTGGAGCATTTTATTTAAATGCACTATCTATCCACCAATCATTACCTTTATTTTCATTAGAAATTTAAATGTAGTACTTAGAAGTATGAAGTATATAGTATGAAAGCATCAGAGTTTGAAAGACAATGGAATGAGTGGCAAAAACCATGAGTGTGTTATACCTAACTCTAGTGAATATATATAGTTTTCATGGATTTGAAAAGGTCAGTGTCTGAGTTCTATATCCATTCTATCCCATGAACTCAAGGCTGCCTTTTCCGTTGACCTGGAATGAATCTTTGTTGTCGGCAACTTTAGGAGATCAGCAATACTCTCAAACTGCTGGTGAAGCCTCTGCTTGAGGAACTCGTAAAGCTCATATTCCAGGGCCATTTTGTCTTTCAGGATCTTGCGTACTGTTTCTGAAACTGGCTTGTACTTCTTTGGATTCTTGTTGACTGTACGCTGGTCCTTGAACTCTGAAAGAAGAAGAGTGGAATGTATTAGCCATGGGGTTGGAAAGTCTCTTTGCTTGAGTTAAATAAT